AATAAAATTTTGAATAGTATACGTTGAATTCAATTGAATTTGGCTTTTGAAAGATTAATTAATCACACGTTTCAATATATCATATTTTACAGACTTATGCACCAAACAAATATTAAATCTAATTAATCTCGAAACTTATATGTTAACTCAGTCACTTTGTTGAGTCAATAACCAACCAGCAGAAGGCGTTAGGTTTTCAAAATCGAACTATATATTTATTTATTTTTTAATTTAGATTACTTTCATGTATATTTGACAAATATTAAACAACATATACCAAATTACTAAATCATTGGCTCAAAAGTCGTAATTTGAGCTGTACTAAAATATTTTAACATGTCAAAACTAAATATTCGAGCACTGTTTAAGCATTCAAATCTTGATCTCTTTTATGATTAAACAATCTATGCATAAAACAAAGAGTCAGTAAAGGTTTGGTTTATAATATTGGACCAAAAAGCAAAAGATGTTGGTTCATTTCATTTACAAAATATTAAATATAAATTGAATATATACCATACTATACATAGCATGCAGACTAATATTAGCCGCCCCCAGTAACATCTGGGCCACATCTCACAGGCTTATCAACACTGTTTCAATTTTATTTGTCAGTTCTTGACCAAAAGAGAAAAACCTTATTTGTTAGTGGATAGTGTTGGAAATTTAACATTATTTGACGATTAATGGTATCTTTGACTTTTGGTTAAAAATCTCTAATGCAGTGAAAGCCACCTTCGAAGGAGTTTACCAATATCTTATCAGCAAAACGAGTCATTGTTTGTTTGTGGTTGTGTTTCAGATTATCAAAAATTATTCTGTTTGGTCTTACTCATTAAATATTTTAATAAGACCCACATAATAAATAATGGATGGATTCTTCCGTGAAGGAAGAAAAATGTTCTTGAAGAAGCAGGATTCTCATTCAACTTGTGCTAGAAATATTTTAAAGTAATGATATTGATAATCATGTTCCAATTTATCATCACTTTTTAAGTTCTTTATCATTAACCCAATGGAAACTTCCTGCGTGTATTTGAAGAAATTAAATATATTAGCAATAGTTATCAGTTATCGTAAACCATTTACTTGTACTACTGACCTTATCCACTGGTCCCTTTTAGAAATAAATTAACAAGTATCTTAGAATTATTAATAAAAAAGCTGAAGTTAAATAATAAAACGTATAATGAATTTTTTAAGATATTGTTTTCTGTATTGAGTAATATGAGATTTTCCCCGGAAGATACATGTTTTCAATTTACAAACTGGTTTCTTTAACAGAATATTTTTTTATTGTTCAGGGAATTGGGTAATTATTAATAATGAAAAGAGTAAAGTTTATATGATTTGTTTAATTAACGATATATTTTTTAATAATTTTACTATATTAAAAGTATGTTTGTTTCTATTTTTAAAAAGAATTTAAAAAACAAAAATAAGTATATTTTATTTTAAAAAAACCTTTTTAAAAATGGAAAACATGTTTTAAATGTTTTTATTTTTCATTTCACTCTATTTTTAGGGGGTTGAATTCATAGTTTTCATTTAAATTTCTTTCCTAGCGTAGTGAGAAAATAGATACTTAAATAATAGTGTCAAAGAATTACGGCGTCGTTCGATGTGCGCAGACGGAACAGAAGAAATGAAGTCGGTGGTGCCACAAATACGGCGTCGTTCCGAGGCTGCTGTCAGTTTTAGCCTCCACCAAGTTCAATTATTTCGTTTTATTAGAACAAATTATATTCCAATTAAAAAATTTTATAATACAACAACATTAACCTAAAATTCATACCAAATCATTTAGTATTCATTTAATTTAAAAAAAATATTTTTTAGAAATAATTGAAGATAATCAAAATAAATTTTTTATTAAAAAATATAAGAATTCACTTTGTATTTTTAAAATATACAGGACTTTACTTTTTAGTCCTATCCCAGGTAGGCTTATTGTTCTGCTTTTCATCTCACCTAAAACGCGCTTTTAAGGATGCAGCGGTCCCAAAAACCTATTTATATACATTATCTTTCAAGGCTTACCACAATCACTTAATTTCACACTCTTTTCTCTGCCTCATAGAACAAAAAATTCAGAGCAACCTCATCACAACTATGAGTCACCAACAACAAACTCCTGGTAAATATTTAACGAGATTATTTTCTTTTATGAATGATTAAATTATCATTCTTTCATCAAAATTCACCTCCATCATGAAAAAGTATTAATCTTTGATTGTATCTAACTGGTGTTGTATTTTCCACCAGTGATGGCATATCCAGCAGTGGATCAAACCAACCCTGCAGCTCCACCACCACCTGTGGGTTACCCCACCAAGGATGATCCTGCCCAACAAAGTGTTCCAGTGAAAACCACTACTAGGGGTGATGGCTTCTGGAAGGGATGGTGAGTTTCTAATCAAAATTTTAGTGCATATTTGATCATGCTTAAGTTTTTTAAAAAAATTACTTACTTGTTAAAAGAATTCTCAAAAATGAAAAAAGTTAAAGCAAACTATAAACACAGTTTATTTAATTATGTACACATTGATTTCTACTTTATGTTTGATTCTCTCTCTTTTCTTGCGCAGTTGTGCTGGACTATGTTGTTGTTGTGCCCTGGATTGTTGCCTCTGATTGAACATCATTGGACATAAGGATTTGTGCTTGTTCTCATCTTGGCTTTCTCTGTCTTTTTTTTTTTTTACTTTACCAAACTATTTTTGTAATTGTCTAATAAGGATATTTGTATCCTCTGGAAGAGCAAAAAATTATTTATGTGACAGAATTTGTAACTTGTTGATCTTTTCATTTGTACAATGAAAAGAGAATTAATCACATGGACTTGTGCAATTAGAAACCAGAACTCCCCGTGTTCAAAGGCTTTTGTATCTTTATGAGGTTACTTTATTTTATAATTACGAAATAATTCTCAAACTTATATAATAAAAAAATGTGTTTTAATAGAATATGTATAATTTAAGCACATATTAATATGTTAATTACAGATGGATTAGCCCAACAATGGCTGTGCTTGTGTAAAACTCTTGACTTTTTAGCCAATAATACTGCATTTTACTAGAAAAGTTGTACCAAACTTGCATAATAGAAAAGATAAATTTGAACGAAAAGTAGTTTTATATAAACTAGGACACGCGTGACGTAATCAATGTCAATATTCATTTGTTCAAGTCATATTCAAGTAACAACGGACGCCAAACTCTAATTGGTTTTGAACAATGACTCAGCTGACCAATCACCAATGAACAACAACGTACCAACCACAATAACTTATAAAGGATAGAGTTTAGTGTTGTTAATAATGTTTCTAAATATTTAATGTTAGTATATTAATCTTTAGTATTAAATTTTATTATGTAGATTATTAAAGTGAAGTTTCAACTTTAATTAAGAACTGCACTGGTATAATAATACAACATGCCTATATATTTACTGAACTATGAGGAGTTACTAACTCCTAATTTGAGGTTAATTTCCTGGGTTAACATAGGATTACAATTTTTAGAAAAGAAAATTAAAATTTTTTCTTTGTTTTAAAATTAAAATTAAAAAGAAAAAACTCTAAATCCTAAACCATAAAACAGAACTCTTAAGGATAGATTTAACTATCTCAGTATTAGACTTATTTAGTTTAGCAATTAAAATTATATTATTAACAAAAAAAAAAGTAACAGAAGATAATTTAAACTCTATTATTAATTTTTTCGTTGATTAAATGAGCTAATCTTTCTATGCAAAAAAATTTAAAAAAAAAAAAAAGGATCGATTACCCCATCTAAAACCCCTGAATAAGGATTGAAAATATTTGTTAAGACTAAGAAAAATAAAACCTATTTTAGATGCCAAAACATCTCAACTATTATTATTTTTATTTAAAAAAATTTTGACATTAATTTTGGTTATTAATTATATAAAATAATTTTTATTTGTTTTTCCCATATGTTTTATATTATTAAATTCTTCGACTATTAAAAATATCACTAATCTAGTTCTTAAATAATCAGATAAACTTAATATTAATTTTTTTATATCTAATCGTGGAAATTATAATATTTAAGTCCTAAGTGATTTGACTATATATAGTAAATTGTGTTTTTGTTAATTTTTATAAATTAATTGGGGATGAATAATAAAGGGACGAGGTAAAGAAGTAATTTTACTTTTGATAATATTTCTTATATATAGTTTTGAAATGCTTGAGAGTATAGATATAGATTCTAAGAGTTTAAAATCTACCATGCATATTGAATAGCATTAATGAGAGATTAATTAACTACCAAAAAGCAATTTCAATATATATTCCCTTAATCTTTTAAACACTCTCTTTAATCTAAAGTAAGTATCGTTTTGGAGTGTTTGCTCAAGAATCAAAGAAACTTTAAATTTTCAGAAGGAAAAAACAATGATAAGATTAAGTTATCCATATTTTGAAAGTACATGTTATTAATATTTTATCTCTTAAAAAAGACCATCTATTAAGAAAGGATGTAATTAAAAATAATAAATATTTTCTAAATAGTATAAAACAACAACTAGTTTTAAAATTACTCAAAGATACTTATTTTAGAAAGGTGAGACCAGTAAAATATATATACATTTGGCTTGTCCAGTTTATAGTTTAAACGTCTTAAACCAGTCCTTGTATGCATAAACTTGACAAACTTGCAAGGAAACGACAAGGAGAATAAAATTAGAAAGAAAATACAATCAATTATATGTTTAATCTGATAGCAAATCGTATTAACAATGTGAATTATGTGCATCCGAAGACCACAACAACTTAGTCTAGAAAGGTCTAACGTAACTACGCGTGGAAATGGGAAAAAAGAAAGGATTAGGGATGAATGGTTTGTAATACGTGGCACGCCACGAATACCGAATACAGGCACCTGGCATAAAAAGCTAAATGGAAACACCGTCTTTTGTTTTCTTAATTACAATAACGCGTTTGTAATTGTCCCACACGTCATTCGAAGTTCCACTGTGTTAAGGAACCATAGCCCCCCAGTGAATATATATACACAAATTTGCTTCCATTGTTTCCAATTTCATACCCATTTCCCCATAAACTCTTTGGATTGTATAAGAAAAGAACGACTCCATCAACACCATCACCATGAGTCACTTCAACAATCAGCAAGACACCCCAGGTGAGTTTTTCTAATCAATCAATGTAATATGCACTACAAAATATGTTTCCTAAGTGACATTTTATTTCGATCTAAATGGATTTACACAAATGAAGATGAACAAGTGAATTGTGAAATCTTTCTAAATGGGACTAATGATATGATACTATATATGATGCAGCAGTATCATATCCACCACAAGGTATGGCCAATCCTCCAGCATCATATGTTACTGCCCCACCACCGATGGGTTATCCTTCCAAGGATGGTCCTACAGCTGAAGGGTACCCCCAACAAAGAGTTCCAGAGCAAACCACAAGCAGGGGTGATGGTTTTTGGAAAGGATGGTGAGTTCATTGCCAAAATCACTTCACCTTATTTTTTGTGAAAATATCAAAAAAGCTTTGTTCTGACCTTTTTTTTTTATTTCTCTTTTCTTGCAGTTGTGCTGCTTTATGTTGCTGCTGTGTCCTGGATTGGTGCTTCTAATTGAATAATAGCATAGATTTGATTTGTATTTGTTATATTTTTTTCACCCTGTTGGTTCCTATTGTATTCTTTGTAGTTGGTAGAAGAATAAGGATTTCTCATGTATTTATCCATTTTATGGATGCTGTTATATTCTTTGTACTTTGAAATTTTCTGTGAAGGAGTTTCTTAATGTAATACATTTTCTTATCAGTAAGAAAAAAATATATCATAAGTTTTTTACATTTCCTCGGACATTGTATTGTATTAAAGATGAAAATGGGAGAAAGAAAAGGTGTATCGATTTCTTTAACTTATGAGATATACATATTGACAGCTACATTCTGCGCATCCTTATCGGTGAATAGGTACAGTGAACAACAAAAAATTAACTCAAATATTAAAAATTAATCAACGTATGTAACAAATGACGCGTGTACAGATAAGCGTTAGTAGCTATCTGCCTATCTTTATTAGTCCCTCAATTTGATAATAACTAATATATTAAATTAAAATAAATTTAATATTATATATAGATATTTAAATTTACTAATTTCGTAATTTAAAAAAAATATATTTTAATTATTAATAATAAATAATTAAAAATAAATTTTAAAAATAAATTATAAAAAATTAAATTAAGATCAAATACGTATAAAATTTTTTAGCAGCAGGTGCACATCTCATGAACTAGCTTGATGACATCGACATTGACCCTTTCTTTTCTCTAACTCTCCGAGTTATAACAATTGTATTTGTTGACTCTTGAATTTTTAAGTTATGATTGTTTTTACTCAAAGGTTGCTAAATGTGCACGTGACTTTTCATGCTTTGAGACTACACTTTACCTTATTTATAAAGTGTTGATTCAACATTTTGTTACGCTAGTTATTTTGTTAAATAATTTTACTTTATAAAAAATTAATTGACATATTTTGTTCATTTAATTAAGTAGTTATTAGTTATTACTTGTTCACTTTTAATTACCTTTGTATATATATATATATATGGTTTAGCTTATTTTGTAAGATCATTTTTTTCTTTATAATTTCCTAAAAGAATTAATTATCTTTGGTTGACAGTATGCTATTCCGAAATATTCATTGTTATAAATTATACGTGTGATAAGAACAACTTTTGTATGTAGGCTTGATAATGAAGTTATATCCATTTATTTATTTATTTATTTTTATGATACAAACGTCAATTTATTTTTATATTTTAAATAGATTTAACTGCATTTTAAGCTCTATAATTTTAATTTTGTTGTATTTAGTCTATTTAGTTTATCAATTGATCAAATTAGGTCTTGCATTCCAAAATTATATTCAATAATAAAAAAATGTAATATATCATTAATTTATATAAATTTATAAAAAAGAGTATATAAAATAATTAGACAAAAAAAATGATATTTTATGCATCTCATTTAGCATTTTTATTTAAAAAATTAGGTGTTTTTTAATTTATATAAATCAACAATATATCACTCTTCCATTGTACTTTTATTAATTATTAAATAAACATTTGAAAGTATGATAAAAGATATACCGTTTTATAAAATCAAGAATTAAACTGAATTTTTGTAAAGTTAAATACTGAAAATGATCGATGCTTATAATTTGAGAGAATAAAATAAATTTTTACTCACTAAAATTAAAAACATACTAAAGAATAATGATGAATTGATTTGTGTTTTTTTTTTTTTTCTGAAGATCATTGATTAAGATGCCAAACAACTCTTATAAAAATTAAAAGCTGGTAAAGATATAGAAGAGCCCCACAGAGGGAACTCAGTGAGGACAAGGAATGAAATGGTAGTTTGAAGTTTTTCAAATGATGTGTGCTGGAAAAGAAGAATGGTCAAGCATATACACTGTGGTGTTCTTTCTCACCGCAACGCGTTGTCCCTCACATCCTTTCAACCTTTTAATATTTTCCAAAGATAGGTATATTTCATCATCCACTCTCATCTTTTCGTCTTTCATTATACAAAATAGCAACTTCTTCAATCATCATCGCCATGGGTCACTTCGACACTCACCAAGAACCACCCCGTGAGTTTTATATTTTATTATCTTCCAATAAAATGTCAGCAATCTTTCATCTTTATCTCAATGTGAATTCTTTCTACTTCCAATATATAATAATTAATTGCCACAAATGAAGATGGATTTTATTTGGGCATGCCCAATTATCAATTTTTTATATTCCCTTAGAATTCCTCGTGGCATTAATAATCTTTGTTTTATATTTTTGTCTTATAATATATTTTCTTTCTAACTAAGATTAATGTTATATATATAATATTGCAGCAGCAGCAGCAGCATATACTCCAACAATGTGTGTTCCACCACCTGTGGAGTATGCAGCCAAGGATGGAGCTGTAGGGTACACTCAACAAGACCAAACAACAAGCAGGGATGATGGGTTCTGGAAGGGATGGTAAGTTTATAGCTAAAATCTTAATTTGTCTCTCTATCTTTGAATTTTACTTCAACCTGTCTCTCTAAACTAATTATGTCTCTGTCTCTGTTGTGTTCTTGCAGTTGTGGCACTGTGTGTTGCTGCTGTTTTCTGGATTGTTGTTATGTTGAATCACAAAACATATGCGCGCTTGTTCTCAAATTCTGTTGTACATATCCAATGTATTGTTAGCGTTTCTTAGAATGTCTTTCTTCTTTTTATTTTCTGAAAAATAAATTCATTAAAAAGAAGGATTGAGCACCCACCATAAATAGCGACTGGGGAGGCAACAGAAGATGTAACTTCCTTAACTCACTGTCTTTGAGAAAGCGTTTGTAAATTTAAGTTAAAATTAACTTGATTATATAGAATTGATTATTTTTTAAATTCAATAAAAAGTTACACAAAAAGTTACAATTTATCACGTTAGTTTAAATGTTAATTTAAAAATAAAATAATTTTAATTGAGCGTATTGAAATATTATTCTTTTACAAAATCATATTAGAATGAAATATGAAATAAAAGTAATTTAAGATTGACTTAACTTATATCGAGACGTACACTTAAATGATGTCTGAACTAATTAAAGATAAAAATTTACTTTTCTTCTCTTTACATGAAATATTTAACTTTTCGTAGAAAAAAATGAATTTTTTTAAGGTACAGTATATAATAACAAAATTAATATTTTAATAACATAAATACTATAACTTTTAATAAAAAAATACTATTTATGAATTTTTTATTTATGAAATTAGAGAAATGTTAGAAAAATATTTTATAAATTTATGGTTAGAAGAGACTTATGAATACGTGTATTTTAATCCATTAATTTCCCTGTGATTGGCGGAACTTATCATGCCTTTCCTGTTTTATGTTTTTGGTTTTTGGGTGGGTGGGGGAGGTACTAAAATACTTTTTTATAGGGTATTTTTTACAAAATTTTAAGTGATATTTATTATAAAGTATTTAATGATTTTTATAAAATATTTATCATTAAAGGAGAAATAAAATTATATTAATAAAAATTATATTCACTTTTATATCGCTTAACAATTTTTATTGAGTAAATTAATTATAAAATTAATAGTTAAATTTAAATTTCCAATTAACAAAATAAATATCGACAGTAGAATTAAGTTTAACGATATTAATTAATAAAGATAAAATTATAATGTCATAATATTTTTTTTAAAAATAATTTATTTTATTTATTTTTATTAGTTGAACAATGATAAGAATGTATTTTTTTTAAAAACTTTTAATTTTTTTATAAAAATTTATTATAAACTACATAACTATTCAAAAATTCATTAAATTAAGAGAGAATTATTACATTACGAGGCATATTTACATATTTTTAATTATTTTTAATAAATTTTAACTAATAATTAAAAATGTATTCCATGATACGTTACTAATATTTTTTTATTAATTTATATAATTTAATTGAAAAAAATTATTAAAAAAATACATACGTGGATTGGTTCAATATATTAGGAAAAAAAAAGGTTACTAATACACTTTAACACGATGTTTTAAACATTTTTTTTAATTATTATGTAAAAATTAATCAGAAAACTTGTGTGGGTAAATATACATTTGAAACCTCATTTTAATAGGCTTTAAACTCACTTTGACGTAAAAAAAATACAGTTAGCACAGTATTAAAATAAAAAAAATTATGATGATTTAAATATGATTTTAAACACATATTTAATTAAAAAATTACTTAATGAGAACTCACATAATTTTATCCAAGTGTATATTGAAAATTTATCTCTCATTTGTTCATCTATTTATATCTTATATAAAATAGAGTAATAATCATTTCCCACTTTATTAATAGATCTAAAATGAGTAGAGAGAAGCAAAAGATAAAAAATAATTAAAATAAATAAGTTACGAAATAAAAAAGTGTAAAAAAAAAATTATAAGAATCCATATAAATATACAAAAACTTAAATGCAAACCACGAAATTGAAAATAAATGAATAATCAAATAAGAAATAATGTATAAAAGATCTTCTAAGAAAAATCGAAGCCATTTTTATAAAAAAAGTTTTATATAAATTCAAGTTAGTACTATTCAATATTTCAACCCCAAACCCCTAAAAGACAGTTCACGTGATGACTCAATCAAGAAAGGCCAAATGTTGACAACGAACGCGTTGAACTCATGTACAAACTGTGGTACGTGGCATGCCACAAGCACCAACATTTTTCTTGGAAAGTTCAAAATGCAAACATGTTCTTTTCTTTCTCTCGTATAACGCTAACGCGTTTGTCCCACACGTCATTGGAATCTTCTATTTCATTAAGGAACCATATGCCCCACTGTGATCCTATAAATAATACCCACTTCTTGTTTCGTATCACAGACCCTTTATCGTCCCTCTGATTCATTGTTAAACTCTTTGATTGCGGTAGAAAAGAGAAACTTTCATCATCACCATATGAGTCACTTCAGCAATCAGCAAGAAGCCCCTGGTGAGTTTTTCTCATCATCCCACATGATGTAAATGAATTACTATGTTGCATCCTCAATAATCTTATTTTATTTTTCTGAACATAAAGCTTAAGCTGAATACCTTCGTTTCCATTTGAATTTTTAAATGGCTCTAACTAGGACTAATGATCTATGTGATATGTCAATTGTGAAATCAATAATCCTTTTCTACTAAAAAACTAATATCACATGTGATATTGCATGTAATTATTTTTTATTTCTGTCTTAATATTTTAAATCCTTTTGTATCCATACATCCCTAAAATACCCTTCTAAAATGTAGAAACATCAAAATTTTCTTGTGAAATTGTGATATGACATAATCAAAAACTAATATGATATTCTGATGCAGCACTATCATATCCCCCAACAATGGCATCATATCCACCACAAGGTAAGGCCTATCCTTCAGCTCCATATGTTACTGCCCCCCCACCAATGGGTTATCCTTCCAAGGATGGTCCTACAGCCGAAGGGTACCCCCAAAAAAGAATTCCAGAGCAAACCACAAGCAGGGGTGATGGTTTTTGGAAAGGATGGTAAGTTCATTGCTAAAATCACTTCACAATACTTGTATTTAGTTCCAGTTTTCCAGAAAATATGAATAAAGCTTTGTTTTGACCCGTTTTTTTTGTTTCTCTTTTCTTGCAGTTGTGCTGCTTTATGTTGCTGCTGGATCCTGGATTGTTGCTTCTAATTGGATCATAGCATAGATTTGTATTTATCATTTTTTTCACCTTGCTGGTTACTATTGTATTCTTTGTAGTTTGTAGAAGAATAAGAATCTTTGTCCTCTTGGACAGCATGTACTTATCCATTTGATTTGATGTTCCTTATTCTAGTACTTTGATTTATTTTGTGACATATTAGTAATAATCAGATTATCTTTATTGATTAGAAAAAAAAAATGTTACCAGAATTTTATATCGAGAACATTGATCGGTTAGTCTGTAGATCAATTAGACAACCTTGTCATGAATTAAATTTATAATACTTCAATATCATTGCATGCATTAATTCATTGAAGCAATTTGTACCTTTTCACTATCAAGTATTTTATAATTTATTATTTCTCTTAGAACAAATACAGTACTTAAATTTAATTAATTTAAATTTAAACACATCATATCTTAATTTAAATTTATATCTTTAATAATATTTTTATAAACTTTTGAATAATTAATTATTGATGATAAATTTTTTAACTTAATAAATAATTTTATATATAACATGATTATATATATTATTTATTTATAAATATATTATAAAATATACCTTGATTTAAGTTTAAGATTTTTATGTATAATACTAATATATTACGTTCATAAATCGACTCAATCGGATCCATCCCTTTTCATATATTTTCAAGTTAAATTCAAATTTAAATAAATAATTCTCGAAAAAGTTAACCTGAATAAAAAGTACATTAAACCTATTTAAACTCATCCTTAATTTAAATTATGACATAAATTTATATAGTAAAAAGTTATGTGTTTAAATTTTATTGTTTATAAATTCTTTTGGAACAAAGAGAATCACTCACCGCAAAAAATAAAAATAAAAAAAAATTAAAAGCTTAAAAAATTCTCATAGATCCTAATCTTGATTAAAAGAAAAATACCTCTAATTCATTCAAAGAAAAAACTATTGTTTTAAATATGTCTATGTTATTTAATTTTATGCGAATAATTTTATTACATTTTACAACTTTTGAAACCACTTTCAATACAAGCTCTGTTACTGGAAAATGAATAAATTCGGAAATAAAAGATGCATATTGAATCCTTCTTTTTTGAAAGGGAAAAAAAATTCAAAAGAAAAGGAAATTACAAATTTACGATAATATCGCAATCCCCACCTTTTTGCTTCCCTATCTTTTGTTTCGTAAATATCTCTTTTGCCGCGACAAATGCTTCCATCATCCACTGTCCTATCTCTCGCCGGAGCCGGAGCCGGTGCCGGCGTGCGGGTGAGCTTTTCCGGCGAAGTGGGTCGTCTCGAAACTCCAAGACCTAAAAAGGTTCTAAGCTTTTGCTGCAAAAAAGGGCTTCCTTTACAACAACACAACATCAATTGTTTCAATTCGAAGAAGAACAACTCACTTCTGAGCTTCGCATTTGGTAAAAATGCCGAGGACAGCTTTTTCCCGGTATATTATATTATTCGATGCAATTTCCTCCTTCTGTTTTTTTTTTTTTTTTGTTCTTAATTTTGTGTTGGTTAATTTAATTTAGTTGCCAAATAGCATGTTTCAATTTTTGGTTGCAAATTGGATAACGTTCCAACATTTTTCTTCAATATTGGGTTCAGTTTAAATTTTGGGTTCCATGGAAAGTAAAGAAATATTGAAATTTTAAAGCTTACTTTTGTAAATGTTAAATATTTATGCAACTTAGATAACCCTGAGGATCCCCCTTCTTTCCTATATTGTTCTCTTCTGTTCTTTGATGTGTGTAAATTCAGAATGGATGTTTAAAATATTTTGCTTAGGTACATTTAGATAGTTATAAGGTTTATAACATGTTGGGGAGTTAATTAATTATAAAGGAGTGTAACACGGAAAGTAAAATACTTACTTTTAAGTTTTAAATTATACCAATATTTTAGTTCCCCTATTTCACCCCCAATTTTTGGAAAGAAAATATTGTTATTTGAGGGAAACATAGAGGTAATTAATGCCATGACTACTTTGCCTTCATATCAGGAAGGGACCTTTTTTCCCTTCTCGTCATTACCTGTCATCCAAACATGGTGTTAAGGTGAATATGTCGGAATTTTGTTATTTGCTCATTATTCTCTTTTCCTTTAGGCAATGTTGACTCTTATGTACAACATTTTTCATCATTATGTATTCTAATCTTGAAAACAATGTAACTTATGCTCATACCACCGGGATGTTAACTGCTAAAATATGTAGAATTCAGTCTTTTATGGGATTCTTTTGCTCTTTTTGTTTATTTGTGTGCTGAATGAGTTTATAATCAGGATGGGTTGTGTGAAATTTCAATTGGCTGCAAATAAATTTAGAGAACTTATGTAAATTTTTTCATTTGAACTGTGGTTGATGATCTTCAGTAAAGGTACATAAGTAACATAAACCTTATACTTGCAGGATGTAAGTGGAGATACTGATGATATGTACGATGAATTAATTAATAATTATGGAAAAGTGGTATTTAGTAGAAAAGACAAAAAGCCTGCTAGCGCAGAGGTTGATGATGATGCTGAAAGCCTGTCATGTAAGCTGAAAAGCAGTTTTGTCAAAGAATTTTCTTCCACCTTGTTCACATTTCTTGTGCAATCTGTCCTTTTTAACATTTTGTGCCTTTTTATCGGGTTTATTCTTAAATTTAAGAATAATCATCTCAGAATATCTGAAGGATTATAAATTACACAAATTCTTGTAAAGGAATTTAAAAATAAATAGCCTTTCTGAAGAATTGGTTTTGAACAAAACCATCAGCTCGATTTGATCATATAGGCTACACCACCTAGTGCGAAAAGGCTTTGGTTGTTGTAAAAAGGCTCATTGCTTGAAGCTGTCATTTACTGCTTCTAGCAAATGCTTAATTTCTTTATGAACCTCTAATCTTGGTCAGTAATGAATTTCTCCTGAAGCAGTCTACAGGGTAGTTTTCCAAGAACAAACACTAGTACAGTTTTTCAAACAGTTTTATAGGCCCCAGGCCAATGCAGACATTGATAAGAAGAAAAGTATCCAAATTCTATTCATTTCTACATGTTACAGGTGGGTAGGTATATTACTTAGATTAAAAATGTATGTGTGGGTTTAGGAGGTTAGGCATGCTGAAAATACATGAAAGCGCTGTTAGAATATGGTTTTGTGTAGTTGTCTAACAGTTTTGTTGCATAAATAGAGAATACTAGTTGTGTAAATTAATACAGAAGGAAATAGGGAATACTCTATGCTACTGCATGGCTGTAAAGGGAAGTGGGTACCCATGAATAGCCTGACCTGCCTGCAACTTTGGGCAGGTGATTGGAGCTTCATTTGTATAAACAGCCTAAGTTCCAGCTTTGTAACTGGGCTCAGCTTGTTTGATATTTTTAATCTGTATTGCATATCTATATGTTGATAAAAGATTTTTATTGGTATGTTTTCAACCAAGAAATGTAATTGTTATCATGCATTTTTGTATAGGAATTGTGCTACATAACTAGTCTCCATCTGAGTTTAGATGGTCCCTCAACATATTCCTGTTTGGCTGAGATTGATCCATGTGCAATTCTGACTTAATTCTTGAGTAATTAGCTGTTTTTTGGTAAAAATATTATGTCATTATGTGAATGAAGGTAAAACGTGGAATTTATTAGCGTAAGTATTGACCTTTTTCCCCCAACAAACAATTTGATTGTATGTAAAAGAGACGAGACAAGGTTGAAATTTTATCACCCCTGAAGCTTGAAGCACCATTTCTATTATACTTGGATTTGGTCTTAAACTAAATGTGAAGCATCCTTGGAACTTCTGAGGTCAAAGTGGTTTAGAAGCATGTAATTTGAGATTCAGCTTAGACATATATGATCTTCAGAAGCTGACTGAAAGTGCTAGATATGATGGAAAAAATTTGGATTGATTACACAATTGGAGGAAATATAAAGAAAAGTGACATAAATTATGTACTTCTCACAGAAATTTTCTATACCCGAGTACTGAACCTAGAGCTGAATTGGAAAAACTTGGAAAATAAAAACCAATGATACGGCAGTTCTCGGTCATTTCCTATACCTGAGTACATAACCTAGACATGATTGGTTTTTACATTTTTTTAAGTTTAATTCCTCACTACCATGGAATCCTTCTTCTGCAAAATTTTATTGTTATTTTCCTCTGAATACAAACATACTATCTAGGTTGGCCCTTGTCATACTTTTGTGAGTTCACCAGTTAGAAGAACTAGTTCAGTTACTTTTTGTTTATATGGATCAACTATATATATACAGAGAGAGAACTATACTGATGGGAATCAAGAATTTTCTAATTGTTAACTGTGGTGTATGTAGTTGCTGTGGAATTGGCCACTGTTGCAAGTGAGGTTAAGGCAGCAGATATAAGGGTCTTGTTTGTGAAGCCACTTGTTTACTGGACTCGATTTTTTCTCATAGCTACAGCATTTTCTCGTCCCCAGATTGATGCTATCGGGTATGGACTTTGCCATTGATCTCTTTATATTTAGCTGGCAATGCTTGAGGATTTGTCTTTGTTGCGCTAAAAGCAGGATATATTTATTTATGTTTATGTTGCATTTTAGGTCCAGAATTCGAGATCGAGCTGAAAAAAAATACGGAAAAATTCCAACCGGAGACACAAAACCCAACTCATGGACCCTGTTGGACTTTGGTAAGTGGTTTTACACCATAATAGCATGACATGCAAAAAGAAATTCTTTTTATCACTTTACTGAAGAATAAAGTTTTAGGTGCCATCACATTCTTATATCCCTTTAAACAGGTGCTATGATGCACTTCCACCCAAGTTTACCCAAATCGTAACTTGTCCTTAATTTACTAGAGAACATCATCAATTTTTCAGTGATAGCTCACCAAGAGAGGAATGTACTTTCTTGAAGGATACATTAACCACCTTAGACATTCAACAAAGAATTTGTCTGCACTCTGCAGAAAGCCATGATACTTTAGTATAATATATCGCGTTAGCTCTCTGCATTTTGCTTAAATAATCCCTTGAACATGTCCATTGCATTTCTAGAAGAGGTACCGAAGATACTGCTAGGATCTAATTACAAGGTATGAGATTGAGTCCCACTGGGATTCTAATGTGGGGTTTATAAGAGCCTACAAGATACACTTTTAAGTATTCTAATGTATCATTCCTCAAGAAGATTCTGCCCTCTTTGCTCACACCAAAACCTTTAAAACCAACCAACATAAATCATTTCAAATTTCATAAACCGATCAAAACCCTTGTCCGCGCATCAAGAATTCATCGATGGCGTCACTAGTTCTGCATTAGGCTTATATATCCACAATGTATGGAATTGGTACCCTTGTTTTTCAATACCTTCTGATCCTTATGATTGTTTCTTGATCACAGGTGATGTTGTGGTTCACATCTTCCTTCCCTCACAGAGAGCTTTCTACAACTTGGAAGAGTTTTATGGTAATGCAACACCAGTTGAGCTTCCTTTTGAAAATCAGCCACCATTTCGCGGTTAAGGGAGCCTTTGGTATTTTGCTAATGATGCAGACAGTTGATGGCCAACTTTTGAGATGGTCAATAACAGCTGCCATTTTTGGTTTGTTTACATTAGTATTATTATGTAAACATCCAATGAGCATATCTCCACAATACTCAGCTTTCTTTTAGCTGGGATGGGAGTGGAGCATCATTCAATGAGGGAAGCCTAAAGGGGAGAATTTAAAAGCATTCTAAAGTTGTTTTCTCGACTTGTACATTAGAGGGTAATTACTAATTCCTCCCAAAAAACTGTTACAACGGGAATAGACATTTTTATAGTTTGTGTAAAATTTGGTTTCAATTATTTAATATCAGGTAGTGTTTTTTAAATCTTTTATCCTTCCCCCTCTTCCCATATTGTTTTTTAAATTAGTTTGGATTCAAAAGTCAAAACCAATAAATATTTTTCCAATTTTTAAATAATCACCAATCTCAAAAAATTGTAAAAACGATCCAGTTGTATTTAGTCACCAAATTTTGAAGGTTGGCATACATGCTCAAAGGTTTGTATATGAATCAAGTTAGGTTAAAATTTTATAGACTTATCAAAACATGTTTTATTTTTTAATCTTTGGTTTAAAGTCTATAAAGGTCTTAAGTTAAATTTAATTTTTATGATTTTTTGAAGAAAGAAGATTCATTAACTTTAGGAATAACTTAGAGTAAGTCTTGAATAACTTTTATACATACATATATATATATATATAATTTTATTAATTTAATCATCGAATTAAAAATTCACATTAAATAGATTAATTATACCAAATTGCATATAAGTTTAAATATGTTGTTGGGCTTTACATTTTAATGAATTTTTTATTTTAGTTTCTTCAAATAACTTTTTTCTTCATTTTTATAAGTTTTTATTCGTAATATCTATTATTAACTTGGTCTATTAAGAAATTGTTAAATATTAACTTTTAATTAATGAGAAGGATTAAAAATAATAATTTATTAAAATGTAGGGCTAAAATAAAAAAATTATTTATAGAGACTAAATTAAAAAAGTACTAAAAATTTGTCAAATGAGCTAGTTTATCATCTCTTTAATTAATTTTGTAAATATGACATATATATAAGAAAAGTTTTATATGAGATTATGAATATTCCGTAGAATAGAACACATAATAAGAGAAATCAATTTTGATTTATTTAAAATAAAGTTCACTGCTTTTGAGTAATTAAATTTTAAAATCACTTTATGATATATTTTTAATATGGCCAAGTGGAGACTCCAAAAGATTGTTTTCAACTTAGCACAATGAACGGACCCATTACCATTAAAAGAAATAAATTTTGTTAGTTATTTGTCACTACAATCTCATATAATATTACCACAATTTATATTGTTCATCTTATAACTACCAACCACATTAATTTTATAGTATCCAAAATATAATAGATCCTATGACATCTCCAACAAAGAGGTAAGTTTGATAACTAATTTGCTTAAAATTAGCATATCTTTAAATTGACTTATGAAATTCAAAACATATTATTCCTTGAACACCAAAATCACCAAAGAATAAATAAATAGAAAATACAATTCTGGTCATGGGTAAGTGTACTCGTCGAAAAGTAATAAAGGGTTTTCAAAAAGAGTTTACAAGTTATCGTCCCACAAAAATTATTTTCAAGTATCAAGAATACCTTGATTCGATTATTTAAACGCAAAGGAGGTGTGATGAATTAAAAACAAGACTTAATATTAGCAATTAATTAAAGAAGACAATAATGCAACGTATGAGAGAAATCAATTGGGATTAGCCTAGGACTTATGGTTTCACCTATTATACTTCTTTATGTTCTGATTATTTTAATCCCGCTATTGGTATCCGAATATTTGTCAACCACTCATACTAGTTCTATTAACACCCAATGATCATGCAATGTTAATATTCTTTTCCCTGAGTAATATCCTCTAATGATCATGTGAGGCAAATGGTCGAAAAAGCATAAAAATCCTATAAATTTGTTAATTCAAGAAAGAGAGGAATTAGGTGTGATTATCCTAACCCCTTATCTCGTTTTATCCTATAATTCTATTAATTACATGTGGTATGATCGTCTACGATATAACTAATTATGAAATGCTAAGGGTAATCAATTCTTAACATAAACAATATGATTCAATAGGATAAAAGTCAAATATTAAAGGAAAATCAATAACGATATTAAAAGTAAAAAACACACAAAGTGTGCTATAGAATCCATTATAGTCTTAGATATGGATTTAGTTACTCATGATGAAATAAACAACCAAAAACATAATAAATCAATCCATAAAACACTAGGGAGAATTCAAATAAGAGAAACCCAAAAGGGAAAAAGATGAAAAGAGTTCTCATTCTCCAAAGGTGCTCGATCACTCGCTTGGACTTTAAAGGGATTCGTCGTCTTTACCAATGATCTCTAATAACTCTCAATTGTAAAGTGAGTCAATGATCTCTAATATATTAAAATATGAACTTATCAAATCCCTATGCCGAGTTAAGGTAACAATCCAAGTAGTAGTAAGGTGATAAAAATTACAATGGGCAAATGACACCTTAAAAGAAACTAAACTTTTTTAGAGTAATGACAACCTCTTAAGATAAAGATTAATATCTTCAAGCTCATGAGAACACGTAGGACAAGAGTTTGAAGAAATAAGACCACAATGATTATGCAAAGTATTAGTGGGCAAAGATCCATGACCAATAAGGAAAATTAAAAATTAAACTTTCTCTATTACTAACAATTTCTAGACCTAATCAAGATTTAAAAGTGGTAAAGGGTTGGATCTCAAATTGTTGAGTCAAGTATAAGTTGTCTTTACATAATAAGTTTCTTTTGTACTTCTTCAATACTAGTGGTCTTCAATAATTTTGTCTATTGCTCAAGAAGTTGGTGCATATGTCTTTGATGTGTTGTGAAATATAGGTGGTAAACCGTTTCAATTTTCAAGCCCTACAAACAAACAACTCACTAACTTCGAGGTTTGTATATAAGATGTGAATAAAATCAACTAAGTTAGCAATTGGGACAAGTCAAGTCCATCCATATTACTATATTGAAGAAGAACCATAGTTTAGCTGGAACTTGAAACTTTTTCAAAATGCTATAGACTTATAGATGCTTTTCCAAACATCAGATTATTTTAGGTCTGGTTGAATATCTTATAATGAATTGTCTTCATATATTTAGCCTTTATAATTTAAACTCATAATTTGAGTTTATCCTACAAAATATCTTACTCCAATTTACCTACAAGAGAGGTATTAACCATTCACATATCACGAACACCTAAGCTCTCCCTATTTCACAGGAGAGATAATTTTGTCCTAACTAACTGGATGAATTTCAATATCTAAACTATTAGAAAACTAAATAAAATCTCTAACTACCTTATTGATATAGTAACAAATAGAGGTAACCACTAAATTTACATGAGATAAATAGAATAAAAGTTTAGACAAATCTTGCTAAGCAAAGTTTACTAGTTCTGTCAAGTAGTTTCCTTTCCATGTTGTCACATTTTTGTAAATTTTCTTTAGTAAATGAGTAAAAGTTGTTCCTTGGTCAATGGAAAGACAAAGTATATTTTCAAATATGAAAAAAATTGAATGAAAGTGAGATCATAAAAAATATCACGCTTTAAAGTTGATTTTAAAGCGTGATATTAAAGCCAGAAACATCACAAAATTTTTGCACCACGGTTATAATAGTTTAGACCTAAGTGTTTTTAGCTTTAAAAAGAAATAGAAAAAACATTGTCAACAAATAAAAGATATTGGACTTGAGTATTTTTAGCTTTACAAAAAAGAAAAATCTTTGTCAATAAATAAAAAATAAGTGATGTTATGGTGACTCCTAAACATATGAAAACCTATTTAGTTATATAATAAAAGATGAAAAATTCATGTAATAAAAATTGTCTTTTCATCTATATTAAATAAAAAATAGTTGTACTAATTTTATAATTATATTAATACACATTAAAAATAATTTAATAATATACAAAACAAAAATTTGTAAGTTGTGCACATTTTTTTATTTTTAAATATATTTAAATTTTTAATAGATATTTTTATTATTCAATATATTAAATTAATTAATAAAGCATTTAAATTAAGATAATAAATGAAATTTAATTTTAATTAATTGATAAATATTATATTGATAATTAATGTTCTTATATTAATTAAAAATTTTGAACAATTGAAATAAAAAATAAATATGTCTAAAACGTACTAAGCAATTATTAAAATATTTTATTTTTTCAAAAAATTAGTACTATTTCTATACTACTCAATATTTTTACTCAATTTAAGATGTCAATTATGTTAATACATATTGAATAATAATATAAACTAATAATTTTAATATTTTAATATAATTTAATGATACTTTTATTTAAATATATTTTAATTTTAATACACATTTTTATCAGCAACATTTCATGGTCATTTTATGGTCATTTTTATCAGCAATATTTTAATTAATACTTTTTCTTTCTGCTGTCAACATTTTATGGTCATTTTTTTTATCTTTATAAATAATCAATTTCAATAAAATTTATTAAATTAATTTATAGCTAAACAATTGTTTTCATTTTTAACATTGTATATTATTATTGTAAAATTTTTATATACAATCAATTCTAGGAAAAAAAATTTAAATACAATTCAGAGCTAATAATTATGAATAAATTATAATTTAAATATTTTAAGTAATATAAAACACTAAATAATTATTTGTAGAGAATTTCATCAAACAGAGACCCAAATCATCTACCACTTGATTATTTACATCATAAAACTTCTTACTAAAATTAAATTTCTCATTTCCTTGAAAAATAATTAAAAGCAAATTGTATACAATATAGCCCTTAAAATAACATTGTCAACAAAATAAACAGCAACCGAGATTAGCGATTACTGTGAGACTGTGAGTTACTTATTTTCCAACCATATTTACAACAATTAGTGAACCGATTTGTAGCTATTAAACAATAAATAATGACTCAAATAGTAACTATCGTATAAATAATTTGATTTGCATTGCGGTCACTGATTTAATTTTAATTAGCAACAACAAAATTGGTTACAAAATAAATTTTTACAACCAACATTTAATAATTTGTCATCAGTTAATTCAGTTGCTAAATTGATAATTAAGTCAACAATATCTCTAGCCATCAACTCTTTGATACTACAAATAACAAATAAAAGGGTAGTATTTGTGGAAATTAGAAAGTCCTTCTGCCATCATGGAATAGTCCTCCATATCCAGCCATGCTAGAGCTCCCTATGGAGCTGCCATCAACATTTAATTCAATCATTGATATAATACTCATATGAAAATAATAATTTCATTCCATTTAATTCATTTTCATGTTTTCTTTTTTTTACAAACTCGCATCTTTGATTCATTATCTAACCCTATAACTTTTATTTTAGATATTTTTAATATCTTGTTATACTAAATCTATAATTTTATTTATTTTATCAATTTATATTTATCATTATCTCTATTTTTATGAAAGTGATCCCCTTAATTTCATATTTTAATAAATTAAGTAAAACGAACAGCATCTTGAATTAAATTACATTTTTTTATTTTTTAAAATATTGATTATATTTAATATATTTTTTGAATGAATTATGATGATAAAAACAATTTAAACAATTTTATGCAATTAATTAAATATTAACAAAAAAATATAATTACTTAAATTAATGTTTTAAAAAATTACTGTCATCAATATATTAATTATTTTATTACAATCAATTAATAAATATATTATCCACCTGTACACATGATTCATGATTCTTAATTTTTAAACAAGAACATTTCTAAGTATTATTTTTTTATTTTAATTTTAATTTATATTTTCATTTTTAAAAATTTTGTAGGCGATTCCTAAACTTCTAGTTTTATTTTAATTTGGTCTTTTATTTTTTTATTTTTTTATTTTGATTACTTAACTTGTATAAAGTTTCAAGTAAGTATTTATTTCGTAAAAAACATTAACCATGTTAAAAATGCATATTTTATCTTCCTTAACTCTAAATTGTGGATCATGAATGTCTTAGTTTCTTTTGTGAAAGAAGGAAAGCTTGTGAGAAAAAAATAATTGTGCCATTGAGCTTCAAGAGGCTTCCTCAAACTCTACGAAAGTTGAGGCCAATGAATACACTTTCTCAACCAAATCTTGCAAGTTTAAAAGGAATGTTTGTTGAATTTGTAAAAAAGACGCATCATTAAACATTTAGGAAGTGCTTAATTGTTTGCCACCTTCGTAGAGTCTATTGAAGACTCGTTTGAAACCAAGACATTTGTTGCATGGCATTTATTTGGTCTTTGGCATAATTCACGTACATTGCATGGCATGACAAGAGGTTAGGAAAAAAAAGAAAAAAGGAAGGAACAAAAAGATTTGTTGAAATAAATTATATTTTTCTGTAATTCACAGGAGAAAATAGATGAATACTAAATTTTTAACAAATTTAAGTTTTTTTTTAATTATTTTGGTGAAAACACTCATGTAAGTTATTTTTATAAGAATAATTTTTAACGAACGTGAGCGAATTTTTATAAGCATTTGAAAGTTATTTTTCGTTTTCAATAGCTGCAGTGCGGCTCTTCCTTCGCCTAAAAAAGAGGAACCACTGCTCCCGACATCGCCAGCACAAGATCATCACCGGTGTTCCTTAAGCAAAAATTTACTTTTTAACTAAATTCACTTAAGTTAAATTTTTTGGCTTAAACTAAAATCATGTTTGTTAAATTTTGCTTAAACAAATTTTTTCACTTAAGTTAAAATACACTGCGCTCCCTGCATTTTCCGCCAACCCTACAGAGAATCTGGATCCATTTGCCACATCTCCAATGCCCAAAATCCCACCTACAATGAGCGTTTCAAGAACCCCTCACGTGGCGGTGGCGGAACATATGACGTGGGTGTGAAAGTATGTTATTTAAATTATAGTTTTAGAAAAAAAAATCTTAGAATATGTTATTTAATTTTCATTTTGAAAATAAATTTTTATTTTAAAAAAAAAGTAAAAACAAACATTTGGGGCATGAAAATCTGAATTTAGTTTTTAATAGTCCGAAAAGTTGTACACCTCAGAATCTTAATTCACGTATTGACATCTCAATTTTTTTAAGAAACAAACTGTAACAGAATTATTGGTTACAAAGGGCCGGTTTATAATTATATTATACCTATTATTTTGTTTCAAATCACACACTTCATCTTCAATGGATAACTTCTCAGACAAAGAAAAGGAGCACAAGAACATGAGTTCAGAAGAGGGTCGTGATCTTCTTGCTCTCTCCCTCTCAAACAATCAATCAACGCTTTCCTCCTCAACCTCAACGTCTGCAAAAATTTCGTCCCGTTCTCGTGGCAATCGCCGTTCAACAGAGCAAAAAGGCAAAATCATAACTCCACCATTCCCATGGGCGAAGGACCAGCGAGCCACCGTGTACAGCAGCAAAGAGCTCTTGCAAAAGAATATCTTCACCATCACTGGAATGGTGCACTGCAAGAGTTGCGAGAGGAAGTTCGAATTGGGGTTTGATCTTCAGGAGAAACTCATTGAACTGCGCCAGTTTATTCAGAGGAACAAAGCCACAATGCACGACAGGGCACCCAGAGTGTGGGTGAGTCCTGTTCTACCCAAGTGTGAGTTTTGTGGAGAAGAAAACAGCGCTAAGCCCTTCTTTGGAGACACCAAAAAGAAAGCCATTAATTGGCTCTTCCTGCTGTTGGGTCAAATGCTTGGATGTTGCACGCTTAATCAGTTGAAATATTTTTGCAAGCACAATCGAAGGCACCGAACTGGTGCCAAGGATCGTCTTCTTTATTCTACGTATGTTCAACTCTGCAAGCAGCTCGCTCCTGAATGGTTTCCTTGATCATTTAAGTTAGTGCTTTCAAAACAACAAAAATATCTAACCACGAAAACGAAAAAAAAAACAAAAAAAGAAAAAAAGAAATATATATGTGTGTGTGTCTTGGTAGGTGCATGCATGTATGTTTATGTTTTCTTAGTGAATTTGTTTATGAACATTATGGTAGGTCGTGACAACGGTTTCTGCCATTTCGTTTTGGAATTTGCACGTTAGTTTTCCATTTGTAATTGTCTTTCTGTGTTTTGTTGTTTGTTTATTTGTTTCTAGGACTGGTCCCTGTTATCGTTTTTCTATTTATGAATAATAAAGGCATATTAGTAAAATAACTGCGCCTTCATCTCTTCTTTTGACTGTTATATGTAATATATTTCTTGGTGGAGAGTTAATAGGCATTTTTTTATTATAGTTTTGGCCAATTCAAACTCTTTTCGCGTATTGCATGAAGACTCCTATAATGGCTCCATTGTTGATGACTACTCAATCTATATTCCTGTGGTAGATTGTCCATTTACCTGGTTAGTTTGTAGGCATTCACCCCCCACCTATTTACCTGTTGTTTAGTCAGAATAGACACTTGTTTCATCCAGAAAATTAGTAAATTTACCCGTGTATAATAACAACATTAACAAATATAGAACAAATTTTAATTAAATTAGAAACAATTATCTTAAATGATGTCACCTGTTCTATATAATAGAAATCGATTAAAACTCACTTTGTAAAATACTTCCGGTTCAATCATGTCCAACATGTAAAAAGTCTAATAAAATCATTAAATATCATTTATCATAATTTTCTTTTTGTTAGCGACCAAATCTGGATAGTTCGAGTTACAATAGCTTAACGAGTCCAGTGCCGTCGCTGTTGCCAGGATAGGTTGGGATGAGGAAGTGCTGATGCTTGTGTGCGAGATGCAGAGAATCAAACCTTTACCATTGATGCTGTATCGATATACGATTAATGAAAAGTGATAATCAAGTATAACATTATACGGGTTTGCTAATAATAAAGGCCCAGTTAATGGTTCATGAAAGAAAATGGACTTCGAATTTCATCCTGAAAAATAACATATCATTGCAAAATATAAATTGGTGCAATTATTTTTCATTAGTATAAACTCATTGAATAAATACATCAAACATAAGTATTGTTTTTTTCATTTGTTTCATCCATTTGTATATAAATTTTCTTATTCTTTTGAAACTTGGAAGAGCAAAGACCCAAAGCAAAAAGATAAAGATGCAGCAGTTAAACTCTTTGCTTTACATATGACAGATGCCTATGAATTTCATCATAAATAAAGCAGTGAAATTGTAGGGTTTTTTGCCTGTGTAGGGTTAAATCAAAGACATTTTATCCGTATGGGGTTGTTTGATGAAAAATTTCCTGGCTAGGGTGATTTGTGAGTGTCGTAAAAATTGTTGGCGACACATGATCAAGTATCGGCTGAAAGAATACCGACACAGGTGCCAGACCCGACTTCTGAGAGCGATTACTTTCAAACCACTCTCAAAAGTCCATTTAAGACAAAAAATATTATTATAAGGTTAATAAAATATAAAATGACTTTCAAACCGCTCTCTTAAATGACTTTTGAGAGCGGTTCAATTCGAACCGCTCTCTTAAATAGACTTTTGATTATTTTCCTATTTTTCTCTTTCCCTTTTTTTTATTTTTTTACATGCATAAAATTGTAATTTATTATTATTGATTAAAATCATTTAAATAACTACAAACTTTTTAAAATATTCAAATGTCTAAATTAATATTGATTTAATATTTTTATTTTCAGTCATTTATATTTTAAAATAATATTTTCAATTTTATTTAACTTACATTGCTTATATATTCATCTTTATTTCACTTAATTCCTTATATTTGACTCTAATTTTTTTTAATTAATCTAATTTATAATTATTTGATGCATAACTATATTTTAATCTTTCACAATTTTAATTTATTTACTATTTCTTATTTATGTGACATAATATTTGTTGAAATATTATTACAAATTTAACAACTGTAGATTCTTATAATATAAATTTATTAATTAATGTTTTTCATTCTTATTATTTCAATTTTATTTTTTTATTCATAATTTTATATTTTATTAACTTTATAATAATAATCACACATAATTTTTCTTCATATATTTATTCAATTTAATTCTTTTATATTTCTTATTTAATTATTTTTTACATAAGTAACAAGAAAATTATATATTTTAATTTAACTATTTTTTTATTTTCCTATTTTTCTATTTTTCTATATTCCTATTTTTCTATATTCCTATTTTCTTATCTTTTACATGCATAACAAAATCACTATAAATATAAATTTTTACTAACCTCATTTTAGAGAGCGGTTCAATTCGAACCGCTCTCAAAAGTCATTTAAGAGAGCGGTTAAATTCGAACCGCTCTCAAAAGTTCATTTTAGAGAGCAGTTCAAATTGAACTGCTCTCTTAAATAGACTTTTGAGAGCGGTTTGAAAGTAACCGCACTCAGAAGTTGGGTCTGGCACCTGTGTCGGCATTCTTTCAGCCGATACTTGATCATGTGTCGCCAACATTTTTTACGACACTCACAAATCACCCTAGCCAGAGAATTTTTCGTCAAACAACTCCATACGGATAAAATATCTTTGATTTAACCCTACACAGTCAAACAACCCGAAATTGTATTTTGTCACTATTTGCTTGCTGAACCATAGTATCCTCGCTAAATATTGGGTTGCACTATTGACAAATGATGTGTACGGACATATTGGGTTGCACTATGACAAATGATGTCTACGCGATAAAAGTTTATTATAATCAACTTTCGTAAGTGAAGTAAAATATATTATAATTGACATAATTTACTTTTATAAAATTTCATAAGTAAAACGATTTTGACTTTTTACTTAGCTTGACATTATTAGAATTGAAAATATTTTATACTAAAGTCAATTTTAATTGACATTATTATATAAAAAACAGGACATACACTTAAATGAATTAGCTTTAAAATATATACCTAATATGTAATTTATTTTATTTTATTTTTTAGAAAACTCAAAAGATTGAGAACAAACATAGTTAACAGAATAGGGGAGTTTACAATAACTAGTCTCAATAACTCGGATGTTGAAGTGATAAGATGCAGTGATGTCTATTGCGATATGATTAACTGGAGTATTATTATTTATTTCAAACGGAAAAGATGAAGATGCTGTCTATTATGATTTCTAAAGTAACAACATTTGAAAAAAAAAATTGAAGATGGATATGTTAAATTGAATTAAAAAAAATTGAGAATATGGTTTGCCAATGCAAAAATGAAATGTACAAATGATTGAAGTAGGACGGGTTTTAACCATTTTAATAAATTTTAAAACTTTTATATTTTTATTTTAGGTTTATCTCTTATAAAATTAACTTTCTCAAATCCTTATTATGTACATTTAATCACTATGTTGTATTGACAGACAGGCTCATATATCATATTTTAACCATGGAAAAAAAATATAACTATTAAAATTAAAAAATAGTCATAGTCAAACAACAAGAGGTATTAAAATTAAAACAAAAAGTATCACAAATAATTGAACTCTATTAAATAATCAATATATTTAGAGAAAAGTTTTTTTAAAATATTAATATTTTATTAAACATAAATTTAGAGTACAAAAAGTATTCTAACTCGTTACACTATTAATAATATATGTCAACTACTATTAATTTAATTAACAATTAATCTTTTTTGAAAGTCTTTTCAAAATACATATTTTAAGTATTTGGCTAAAACTTAGATCTTTCATATAATTATTTTTCATAAATTTAGATCGAGCCATGACTTAGAATTAGAATTGTGTTTCTTTTTTTTTACCTTGTGAATTACACTCTTAACATTAATTCACATTACAACATTAACAATATATGTCTACAATCATTAATTCAATTCACAATCAATCTTTTTTGAAGGCCCTTCCAAGATACATATTTCAATATTTGGTCCAAGTTTTGATCCTTTCACAAAATTGTTTCTCATAAATTTAGATTGAACTCGTAAGAGTTAGAATAGTGTTTCTTTTTTTTTACCTTGCAAAGTACACTCCTAATATTAATTCTTTTCTATACTATTATCTCAATAACAACATTAGATTGAAAGTAATCTACTTATTAACTCAATATTTAGAAGAAAGTTTCGATGGTATAATAATTATATCTCAAGCAAGATAATCTCTTGTGGAGAATCTAAACAATATAAGATCATTAATATATTTGAATCATTATTTTACATTATTTAAATATATTTTGGTCATTAATATATTTATCCATACTTAAAATTACTACAAAATTTTAATTATCTCAATTAGTCGAGCACAAATTATTTACCACTTAATTCTTTAGGATCGTAAATCTTCTTACTAAAATCAAATTTCTCATTTTTTTGAAAATTAAATAAAAGTAAGAGTATTCAATATTAGGATTTAAAATAACTCTATAAATCATTCTTCTTATCCCTAAGAAACAATCATCAAATTGTTCATAAAAGATAAACAGCAATAGAGATTAACGATCATTGTGATTTACTTACTTTTCAACTATATTTACATCTAGTAGGAAAAAAAATTTATAACTACTAAACAAATAAATGAAGACTCAAATAGTAACTACCATATAAATAATTTGATTTCCATTGCGGTCACTAATTTAATTTTACTTAGCAACAACTATTAACTTAATTAGTTACAAAATAGAGCCAACATCTTAATATATAATTTGTCACCAGTTAATTCATTTGTTAAAACACTATTTAATAAAACAATTAAAATCTATTTTTTACTAATTTTTTAATTGCTAATTGAATTTTTTGGCTATATTGATTTAGAAAATAAATAGAAATGCCTAATACCGAAGAAACTTCAATCATTGATATAATACTCATCTGAAAATAGTACTTAATTTCATTCCATTTAATTCATTTTTATGTTTTTTTTTTTTACAAACTCGGATATT